CATTAATACAAATTAAAATTCCTATTACACTGCCACTGCCAAAATATGGTATCATCTTATTCATCCTCAGATCATTTTTAATTGACAGCCTATTTTTTTTCTAAAGCAGCACAGTGTTTTTATTGTTTTACAGTTTCCTAATGCAGTACAGTGCAGAACAGTGTGTTTACTGGTTTCCTTTTTTTCCTAGCAATAATTAAAAAGAAAAAAAATTAGGAACAAACTACATGTACACTGCAACTGTAATATAGAATATCAAAGTCAGGGTTTAGAGTCTTAACAGAATCCCTAAAAAATTCCCCAAGCTCAATTAGTTTAGTGGTGTAATAACATGATATACACCTCTATACCATGCAGACATATGTGAAAGTACCACATATTGTATATTAATGTGTTCCAGGACTGATTGAGGTGGGACTTACAGATTTACTACTACCAGAGATCCTGTTACCAACTTAAAAAATTACAGTTAAAACAGCAAGTATATTTTTTACATTTGCAGCGCTTTTCATTTTTTTTATTGTTTTAAAGGAGAACTATGAGGGGGGTGCTTTTCACTCACCTCATAGTTCTAGCCGACCTGTGACAATTAAACTGTCACAGGTCGGCTTAGTAGATCGGGAAGTGAGCAAACACATACCAGCGTTCGCTCACTTCTCGATCCCGTCACGGCAGAGAGCCGTGACAGGGGAGTGACTGGATTCCCCCCTCCCCGCTCCTCTGGTGCTGACTGGCGGAACGGATGGGGGCAGGTACAGTTGGCTCTGCCTGGATTCCCCCCTCCCCGCACCGATCCTCCAGCGCTGACTGGCGGAACGGACAAGGGAGGGGGCGAGTACAGCTGGCTCTGCCTCTATATAGGCAGAGTTAGCTGTCACTCACGCAGCTGGGTGGATCCAGAAATAATTGTCGGGATCCGTTTCAGCTGCGGCGTCTCAGTATACCGCGAGCTGTAGTCACATAGTTCTCCGAAGGGTAACGGGAGGACACAAACTAGCGTCCTCCCGTCACCCTTCGGAGAACTATGTGAAAAAGCCCTAACCCCATAGTTCTCCTTTAAAGACTTGAACTGTGCTCCTGAACGTGCTTAAAAATTTGACTATTCAAGGAAGAATTCATTATCTAGCACAGCCCCCTAGCACGTCATTGCCCTCTTCTTTTCTGGTGACTTACTCTATGTGCTGACCAGCATGCATCTCCACCCTTTCCCTCACCTCCCTATATAACCTTCTATGTATCTGCTGGGGAGAGGCAAAGGGGAATAACAGAGTATCACTCAAGTGACAACTTTTACGCCACTGGGGATGCTGACATCACCATTCAAAATGGTGTCACCCAGCAACAGTCTCTGGGCTCTTAGATGCATACACAAGGGAAGCTTTTCCAGATAAAAAACATGATTTAAATATGTATGTATCTTATGGGAAGATATTTCTTGAAATGAATGGCCTTGTAAGATGATCTCTTTCATAGACTCCTTATTAGTGCTTCATGCTTATAAGCTATAAAACACAAGGATAATACTTGCAGGCAAGCTACAACTTTGTAACTCTGTGGAAAGTAGCTGTGAGCATGCTGTTACAAAGGAAGCAATGCTGCACAGCTGTCTATAGCCCGGTCTATCTTGATCTGTCACTAAATGTCATATAGATATGGCGGCACCTTCCTAGCTCGGTTCAGTGTTTCTGGTCTGTATGCAGAAATTTAATTACAAGCAGATTCTCAGTGCTGCCCACAGACTGCAAGGCCTGTACGGTGTTTGCCAAAACCATCTGTCAGCACGAGATGAGCTGAAAAGACCCACAAATGATGAATAAATGGCATCAAAAATCCTCTTCTGCCACAACTACAAACTGAGTATGAAATAAAAAGTCTGAAAGCCAAATATTCCGTAAGATCTGTCATAGCCAAAAAACAAATCTGGTGTCTAATTAGTGTGCATCATTCCCTACAATCTCAGCAATGGAAGTCATGTGTCAGACATTAATAGCTGCACATGAATTTCAAACACATGGCATTTAACAGGCACACAAGCTCCACTTTCCATCTATTACAATGGTCTGACTGTTCTCCTTGAAAATCCAATAGTCTTTTTATACCTCTACCCTCTTGGGTGTCTGGAAATCATGTGATCTCTACAGGAATCTAAACAGCTATTAGTGCACTGGTCACCCTGGCTGTACAAAGGGATAATGCTGTCAAGGTCAGACTAAAATAGATGCGAGTCAGCATTTAAAGAAGTGAACTCAAGTTCATAAACAGAAATGGGCCGTCGTGGTAATGCAATACTTTTATCACTTTTTACATGTATATTTAAGAAATACGGCAGTCTTCAGTCTCCATGTTTGTCTGTACAGTGTTCATGGCTATGCTACAAGGAACAACATGCTATATGGGGAACAAGGACAAATGGGGTGGCATTATCTCTTTAGGAGGTTACCAAATTATTTCAAACGCTACACTCCATTACTACATTTTTGGGGACACATTACAATACCAAGCTGGTACTTGGGATCACATAAAAACAAATGGCACTAGGGAACCCAATGTAAAACAAAAGAAAAGCTTGTCAATACTGTTGGCTGTTGCCATCTTTCTTGTCCCCCAAGAGCTGTGTGTTTGGTTTTTTAAAAATGTTTTGGTAACCATATACATTTCCAAGATATATAAAGAAGGATGCACACAATACAAATTTCGGCCAGTTCCTGAAAAACCGTCTGAAATTTGCGCACTCGCTTCCGCCCGGCATCCCTCGATCATCTGATCGAAGGAGTTGGTTGGAAAATTCTCGGCTGAATAGAGCTTGCAGCCAATCAGCTGCTAGCTCAGGTATTCTGACAGTAGCAGGCAACATTTATGTCTGGATCCCTACTCAGGAAATGTCCTTATTTCTTCTGTGTCACCAGGATGGGAAATGCTTCCCGAGGGAACATAAAGGTTGTAAGCC